TGTCTGAAGTCGCACAGAAGACTGGAGACCAAGAACCTAAGAAGAAAGCTCCTGAAAAGAAGAGCAGGATTCCCAGGAGTCTTATCCTGAATTGTGTTTAGTACTTGTGAATACCCCAGTGGAAGGCTCTGGATAGATACGCCTTGGCAGCTTGGGTGCCCCTGCAGTGGATGAAGGCTATTAAATCAGCCCCATCACTGACTGATTACAATGATTGGCCACCTGTCCATGTAACTACCCAGCAGAAGAAATGGCCACAGCTCTTAAACCTTGGATAATCATGTGGAGCCTCTACAATTTTGACACATGAATACAAAAATCAAGAGTAGAGACAGATACTGAAGAGAAGTTTGTAGTAATCCAATTATTGGCATTAATGGACAAAAATCTTAAATAATTTTGATGTGTGTGTTCAAAGAAGCAGAGGAAAAAATGGAGGAAATAGATAGATTGGTATCCATAGAAAAAAATAAAATGCACACTTGAAAACTGAAAAATACAATAATTAGAATAATAACCCATAAATGAGTCAGAAAGCATAACAAGCATATTATATAGGGTTATTCATTAACTGGAAGAGCAGGTCAAAGGCAAACATTCAAACAAGCATAAAGATAAATACAGAGTGAAAAATAGTGAAACAGGTATCAGAGGCATGTTGGGCTCAGTGAAACCATGTGTTAAATATATTATTAAAGGCTCAGAAAAAGAAGGAGACAAAATGGAGTAGAGCTATGTATCAAGAATTCACCAGTGAGTTTCATGTGATGAAATGTATCCAACCACAAATTCAAGAAGCTCTGTGAATTTTAAGGAGTATAAGTATAAACAAAACCATACCTAGGAACATCATAGTAAAATGGAAGAAAAATAAAGAGCAATGAAAAACTTTAAAATCAGTGAGAAACAAAGACATTATCTTCAAAGCAACAATAAGGCCGACAGGTTAGATAGGAGCCAGAGTCAAAAAAAACAGCAAGTTAAAGTATTCAAAAAAATTGCCAAAAAATTCTATACCCAGCTTAAATATTCTTTAAAAATGAAGGCTGCATAAAAACACCTCAAGCATAAAACAATGAAAGAAGCTGTTACCAGCAAACCTGAAGTTTAAAAAAACATATGCAACAACCTACTGAACAATTTTATAAACTCTAATAAGTGAATTGTCAAGAATGTCACTAATGAAAAGTACCAGATGTTTAAAATAGAAATCACAAACTAGACTCACCTCTACATAAATTTACTTCTTTCACTAATAGATCACATCTGTTAGATAGTTAGTTCTTGCTGTACTTTCGAAATCACTTTTGCACGTGAGCCCATTTACTGTGAGAAAGGCAGAGCAGAGAGTATCATCTTGATTTAATGTCAAGTGAAAATATTGTGCAAGGGGTTTAGAGATTCTTCCTCAATTAGGTGACAAAGTCAAAACTAGAACCCAAATTTCCTACCCAGGACTCATCATTCTGACACCAGGAAATAGAAAGTGAATCAATAGCATGAAGTTGCAAAATGTGTCCACTCTATAACAAAAGGATAATTTTAGCTTATAGAGATTGTGTCCCAAATTTCCCTTAACTTCATTTTTAAAAACTCCATTAACATAGTATCTTAAGCCTATGAATATCATCATACTCCTGAATATTTTCAACAATTCTGTTAATGTAGGCTTTCAATCTGTTTTTTAAAATGTTGATTTTTATTTTAGAGAGCAGGGAAGAGAAGAAGAAAGAGATGGATGAAACATGGATTAGATGCCCTCTGCAAGTACCTGGAGCACAGAGCCAGCAAGCCAGGCCCATGCCCTGACCCAGACCTATGGGTGACCTTTCAGTTTGCGGGAGGACACCCAACCAACTGAGCCACCCGGCCAGGATGGCTTCACTCTAAACGTAATTCCTGAAGAAGCCAAGACACCAACACCAACACCTTTCAGCCAAAAAAGGTTTTACTGACCAATGTCCATATCGAAGGCCTACATGAAAGTTAAAATCATGTTTTGTGATCCATAAAGCATCCTTAAACTAGAATTTGAATTATACTATAGAAAAGCCCATAAAATAATCTGATTGAGTTCAAGATATAATTTTGCCTCAAGGAAGGTGAAGAGAGTCTCACTGTATCACAGGGACCCTACGGCATCTGTTCAAATCAAGCCATTGGAATGATGAAAGCCAAGTGATCATCAAATGATATAAACTTAATCTTCATACATCATCTTCTCTTGGAAATCTTCCAGTGCTCTGACAATACTCTTTTCCATGGCCTTGAGACATCCCTGTTGCCTACTCTGGACAACATACCATAGCTTCATTTTTGTCTTATAATGCAACTTTGTCCTCTTCCTCTCATCTCTACCAATTAAGAGTCCTGTGTAACAAAATAGCCAAACTATTTCTGAACTGCATTAAAGGACATTATGAGAATATTCTCTGGTGCAAGGACATCATTTTACTTCATGTTTTTAGAAATAACCTTGTACTGACTATCAACTACATCGTACGGATTTATAACACGTTTATACTTTCAGCACCTTCCTTACATATTCTAGTGTTTGTTTAGTGAAGTACCAGAGCATTTTTTACCTTCTTAGACAAATATTTTTGAAATAAAAGATTTCAGGCATAAAACATAAAGTGTTTTCCTTAATGTACATTTTTACCTACCATATACAGAAGGTAAAACGTCTTATTGTTAAAGGGAATATCCTTTGCCAAAAACCATGAGCCCCAAACCACATACCTCCTGCTTGGTTGGCTAATTATCTAATTGAGATTATATATATTTATATAAATGTATATTTTATGTCGGGTACACCCCATCACATAAGCACATCACAGACCACATGTCCACGGGGCTAGATTAAGAATAAGATTCTGTTATTACAATATTTAAGGAAGGCAGCCAAAACGAGCAACAAGTTCTCGAAGAACCTTCATGTAAGCTCCTTAAGCTTTACTACAAAGAGATGAATATAGTAAAGTTAGAAAAAAGTAAAACTTTTCTAAAGGGCAGAGCCCTTTGTGATAAGAAGTCAGGAAACAAATAATATGAAAAAAATATTTCTGAATCATAGGAGAAAATGTGGCTGCTAACTCCAGAAGTCCTGGATAAAGATAAGCTTCCTTTGGGCACATTGATAGACTCTCGACATAACTGAACGAAACCTAACATTTAATTGTGCACTTCCTGGAAGGAAAGACAGCACGTAAAAGCTCCAGTGAGCTTTTCCAAAAGCAAAGCTGATGTGACATACTCTGACACCCATCTCAGTGGCACCATTTATATTTAGTAAGACCGCCCTCTGTTTTCTTACCCGTTCCTTTCTACTTCCACCTCACTTCTTATTCCAATAACTGTCTAGCATGTCTGTTCCAAAAAGACCTCAGCTTTATCAGAAAAACAACTACTGACCTAGAAAGTTTTAGTCTAACACTTTTGTTTTAGAAAAGCTTCACTAGGATCACCTATATTAAAAAAAGAAAGACTCTAAAGACAAAACAATAAGCCATTTTAAGAAAAAGAAAATAAAATGAACTTTGAATTACAACTATGATTGTTACTTTATTTTACCATTATGTTAGATGCTGGAATATGAAAGTTGTATACCAAGAATCTCCTTAGCTCTGGGACCATTTATCATACATTAAATCCATGCATATTAAATATTTTAGATTGCAGTGCATGAAATCCCCCAAAGTAGCAAACTTTCACTTTCTTACCTTTTTCCCAAAATGTTTCTTTTGGAAATAAACTAACATTTAAATAAAATATTCCAATAGTGATCGCCACTTCTCGGTGATCTGAAAATTGGACTTTTCCCAAACAGAAAGAATTGATTGATAAAACGTGTGTCAAACCGACAGGTAACTAGGAGGCGTGGGTATTGGTACATTGGCTTTCTAGCACTTACACTCAGCACAACTCTAAACTAAGCCACCTGAGCAGGTTCCAAATCTTTTCTCTTAAGCCCACAAAGCTCTGTAATAGAATACACACCACTCTCAAAAATGTTTAGCAAGCGAACCTCTTCCGGAACTACTGAATAACAAATGGAATTTCCAGGAAGGCTGGATCTCCCTAAGTACATACAGGATATGCCTCTAAGTCCATCTACCAGCGACAAATAATCCGCAAGCGTTTCGGAAACCAGGGGCGGGGAAAGAGCAAGAATGAGGATCCTAAGTTTGCTCTTTCACTCATTCCACTTGGGGACAGAACTTGGGCGTCTATCTGCCTCGATTGGTCACTTCACTTTCTGACGCTTAGTAAGAAGCTCTTCTGCACCTGGATAACTGCGACACTCACCAACGCGCGCAGGACCCTCTGGTGTCTTAAGTCGCAGCTCTCCGTCCCTCCTGCAGCAGAAACACAATAGCATCCCTTGCCCAGGTGGGCGGGCGCAGGGGACCCGGATCCCACTCGACAGTTGCGGAGAGCCTGACTCGGGTCTGAGCGCATCAGCGCTAAACCCAGGACAAAGGCTGCCCTCGGTGGTCAGTGGTGCACGCCCTCCCAGGGTAATCCATGCCCGTGCTCCTCGAGCTCACACCGGTAGCTCACGAGCCCGTAAGTGGCTCTCGTCGATTCCGCGCTTTCCGAGGGGTGCGGCTCCGAGACTAGTACGAAGCTGGTGTAAACAGCACGCGCCTCGCACTGGGATCCGCCAGAACCGTCTGGCGCACTGGGCGGGCGCTGGCGAGCCAAGAGAGGTAACTACCCCACACAGCTGGTTGGAACAGCCTCCACTCGCCAGAAGCGGCGCCTACAGGGAGAGCCCGCCGCCAGGGAGTTGGGTCCCAGCACCCACCACGAACCCCAGCCAGGAGCCTCAGCTCCTCTGCGGACTCACCAGGCAAAGGCACCTGCTGCCTGGGCTCCCGGGTCTAGTGCTGTGCCAAGCCCCGCTCGGGGTCAAGGACGCAGGCGCCCAGGTCGGGAAGCCAAGGGAGGTGTAGGCTTAACAAGAGTCTAATTGAATGATCTTTGCAATCACTCACCGGCGGAGGGCGAAGTCGCTCAGGCGGCCTCCGGGTTGTGCACGGAGAGCATCCCCGGGCGCAGGCATCCTCCCATCCTTTGTCAATAGCAGGCAGAGCGCTCCTCCCAAGCTTGCGGACGTGCAGCTGAGTGGCGGGCAGACCCGCTCTGGCTCTGCTTACCAGCCCTCTCTCCTCCTCCCCCTCCCCTACTCCGTCCCCCTCTCGGAGCCTGCACTCACTCAGCTCCCATGATGTCATCCGGTGGAAATCTGCCATGCTCAAAGACTGGAATGATCCAGCGCTCACGCGGGGAACACAGCGAGGGCGGAGGCGGCAGCAGAGCCTTTAGACACGCGTACCCAGACCTGCCGGGCCAGGATAACTGGACTCAAGGACAGTACAGTGGAGCGGTCTGCGGAAGTGGCTCCGTGGGTGAGTGTGGGCAGGGTGGGCGTGGTGGGGATAGAGCCCAGGACGAAAAGTGCTGTCGCTGCTGCACAGATTTCTTCTTCGGTGTTTGGTAGTAAAGGTAAGGAGAAAGTTTTCTTGGCCTCTCCTCTGCTCCTGTGTCCCAGCGCAGTGATGGACGCCTTGTGTGCAACCAGGAGAATGACTGGAACATCGGGGACTCTGGAGCCCCAGCCTCCGTGAGAAAGTTTAGGACGTCTACCTGATAGTAGCCTGAATAGTGAGCCTCTAAAAGGATGAAGGAAGGCACGTACGGTTTATGGGCGAAAGAATCTGAAAGAAAACATTATCTTGTTTGGGAAGGGAGGTGGGACGCGACGACCTAGGAAACTAACACGCAAAAGACAGCAGTTCCCAGGTGAGAAGCCAAGAGCAATAATTAACCCGTGGTCCTCGTTTGTTACTGCTTTCTCCGGAACGAATACTATTGGACGCTCTGGAGGCGACTTCCTCGTCAGCCTCACCCAAGGATTGCCATTGCTGATGAAACCATTTAAATCACAAGAGGTTCAGTAAGAGCCATAAAAGATGTTATGTCAATTCTTTTTGCTTCATATTCTTTATAATATATGTTTTACTGGAGGAATAGATAAACAGCCTCAGTACTTTGGAAGATTCCCCCATTATTAATAGACACACACATACACACACACACAGAGCCCAGATCTGAGATCCAACTCTACAACAATCTAGAGTGGCTTCGTGTTAAAAATTCTCACTGTTGAGAGAACATATCCCAACAGCTGATCCCAAGCTAACCAATCATTGTTTCAAGGAGTTTCTTGAGGTCCCCAGGATTACCTACCACCACCACCCCCTGGAAGAAACAGGTTGCAGAGGAGGGCATCAACAACCAAGGCTGACTGGGTGGGCTCAGCTGAGAATGCCAGGGTAGGTACACACAGACCCTGCCGGAGGACTCATCCACCATCATCCCTAAGAAGTATAAAGACTAGAAACTGCGTTTATTGCAAAAATGGGTACAATCAGAAACACCTTAATTTTTGTTAAATACAAAGTACTCAATATAATAATGTCAACTTGAAGGCTAGTCATTGTATTAAATAAGCTTGTTAATGCATTATAAAACTGTGAAATCCACTGAGACTTTTCTTAGGAAAAAGTAATAAATTAAGTGTAAAAACACAATCAGAAATTATTTTTAATAAATAAAGTACCAAAAAGGCCATGCTGCACATAGTTGGGAAGTAATGTAGAAAATCTGTGTTAATTTGCATTTATTTATTTTCAAATTAAAATATTTTAGGTATCATTAATATATATTGCGTGTTACTATTATATATTATAAAAATATATTTAGCATCCTTGTTAACATCCTTACTGTTTTAAAAACTGAAAATAAATTTTGCCCTGGCTGGGTGGCTCAGTTGATTGGAGCATTGTCCAGTACACCCAAAGTCTCCAGGTTCCATTCCCAGGTAGGGCACATGCCTAGGTTGCAGGTCAATCCCTGGTTGAGGTGCATATGGGAGGCAACTGACCAATGTTTCTCTCTCACATGGATGTTTCTCTCCTTCTCCCTTCCTCCCTCTCTAAACATATCCTCAGGTAAGGATTAAAAAATTAAAATAAATTTTAAGGATAATCAGTTATCCTTTCCTCCAAATCAAAATACAAAAAGCATATAAAATGATGAACAACTTTTACACGAGTATTTTTTAAATATTAAAATAACAAAGATTTTTAAAAATCAGGACTACTGGGAAATAAACTAGATTAAAAAATCTAATAGAGGCAAGAATTTGGTAATGTAAGCAATGACTATTTTGAGAATAGACAAACAGTCTAATTGCTTGTAAAAAAGCCATTAGAACTGCTAATGATGCTATTCCGAGTATATAAGAAGGTCAACTTGTAAACCTTTCTTCCTAGATTGCTTCTCTGATGCTCCATCTATCTTCATTGCCTCTGTTTATCTTGCTGCACTTCAGCATTCTCTGCACTAATGCACCAGTATGGAGACAAGCAGGTCATAGGGAGTCAGCAGATCTGGGGAACCTAAGTCAAATAACCAAAAAGATCAGAAAATGTATCCCTCAGCTTTTTTAAACTCTCCAATCTAAAGGATTAAAGCAAAATCTATATCATCATATTGTACACCTTAAACTTACAGAATGTTATATGTCAATTATATCTCAATAAAGCTAGAAAAAATTTCTTTAAAAATAACCTATGCCTCTTACTTTAAGGATAATGAAATGCATTCATGTGATCATTTACCTGGCCCTATGAAAAAGTCTTTGGTTATATGATTCTGGCATTCTTTGAGAATTAAAAATACCATTTTCAATGGCCTGTGGCCTTCCTTCACTGTGGCCCTTGGTCTCAGCAATGTGAATTTACTACATCTCTGCAAGAACTTCTTTCCCAGCGTGTTAACCTACTGAGATCCTTGTCTGTGTCTTGGACATTTCCCACTTCCAATGCATGCTTTTTTCTTTATTTGCAATTTCTGTCGTGCTATTTGAATATATTAAGAAATTTATCCAAATAGATGGCTATAAATAACTAAAATAAAATATTTAATTGTTACATTGGAAAAGTACATCATAATTCTTAGAAAAAGGTTGTATCTGAACGCATATCTTACAAACTTAACCTATATTCTAATCTTGTTTACATGGTGAGTATGTGAAGCCTTGGAATTGAAGATTTAGAGTGGAAATATTAACTGTCAATTATTGATGCTCCACTTCCTTGTTTCCACGTTGATATATGATTTCCTTCACAAAAACAATGAATGTTTTGGCGGGGGCAAAGAGGCACATTTTAAGTTTCCCTTGTGGATGTCACAAAATAAAAAATTTTTATACTCTTGTTTTATCTTAATTAATAGACTCATTAATAGCTAGTGTCTTTTTAAATATAAGTTTGCCTAAATGAGAATTTAACTATTCATAAATAATAACTAATAGGCAAAAACTAGTATCATTAAGCCCTTATAATGTGTCAAATACTGTGCTAAGTACTTATATGTATTGGCCCATTTGATCTTTAAAATTACCCACATGACATGACTGTTCTATTAACTTCTCTTGATGATGAGGGAACAGATACCTAGAGAAGTTGTGAAAATTGTCCAGACAACTAATCTAGTAACAAATCAAATTTAAGATTTTATTCTTTTTGCTTAAACTCATGGAGCCTGCCCTCATAATAGCAGGCTAGCAACTTTTATGTAATTTTTCATGTGGAAAAAAATGAAAGCCTAGTAATTATATATATTCTTTCTGGTAAGATGAACAATATGCTTTTGTGAAGTTCACCATTGGTTACAAAATCCATCATGAATTTTATTTTCATTATTCCTGTTAATGAAATGTTTTCAAAATTATTTTCAAAGAAAAAGAATCTCAGGATAACAAATAAATTTCAGTTTCTAATCTATCTTTAACCAGTTTCAGACATAAAGGAAGTGACGTGATTTTGTATTTGGAGACTGATCACTGTAAAATGAAATAAAAAAGAAAAATAACTATAAACCATTGATTTAAGACAAAGACCACCTCAGCAACTATATTTTCTGTATGGGTAATCCATTGGTAGGTTTAGGAAGGCAAACTATATCACCCATTCAAACGGAGGTGAATACCCCGAATACTCTCTTTCCTACTCTGAATATTAACAATGAACATAAGTCATTTTATATATTGTATTTCAAAGGCTCCATATGTTTTTATCATAGAAAGTAATATTCCCTAGGCACAGATGTCTAACCAACCTTTTTTTAAATAGAAAAGTTTAGTATAGACTTTTTCAAAACCCTTTTTTATCTTACCTTTTTGATAATTGGCTGATGTTCAGCAGGTCCACTAACAAGGGTTATTAAAATGGATTTATGGAAAGGTTACAAGGTACACATAACAGATTTTTATTCTTTCAAGGTATGCTCCTAACCTAGCTCTTTGTATTAATTTCTCACTCATGAAATAAAGAACATGAACAAATAATGAGAATCCTTACATTCATATATGTTAGCAGGCAAAAATTAATTTATTGCATACATGGGATCTAAATGTTAAGGTTATTTTGACTCTGGCTGCACGACATGCTTCTGTCATTTAAACATCCTTGTTTAGCAGGACGGGTGGCCGGTCCCATGTTCATATGCTCATTTTCCAGTCGCTCTATCTATAGTTCTGGTCCGTGGCACTAACATGGCATAGAAGTGGTCACAGAGGGACCGCTTTTGTTCAAAGGTAGAGGAATGGATGAGGGAAAGTTACCTTGAAATGCACACACTGCTTGTAGGAAGGAAAGGGGAACTAAAGCCCTATGAAAGAATATATGTATGCCATGTTTCCTAAAAGAAAAGTATTTGAAAAGTAGAGATACTGATTTATCTAAGCATGTATCAGTTCCTCATCATCTAAGTGAGAATTGTTCTTAATCAAATGCTTGTGGTATTCAGCTATAATAGTAACATGAGTGATCTGCCTTTATGCATAAATCCTCAAATTACTTCAATAACCTTGGTTTACCCCATTTATAGGTATAGCATTAAGGACAAAACAAAATATTCACAACAGGAACATAATTTTCTGGTATGTTGAGTCATGGTTCTTAATCTGTACTTTACAGTACACTACATTCCCAAGGCCATATCTTTTAAACTATTATGGGAGAAAACAC